TTATAGAGGCTGACTTAGTGGGAACTTTATTTAGTAAGTATGTTGATGCTTCCAAAGCATATCTCCATAAATTTATTGGAAGCTCAGTGAACCCCATCATATATCTCACCATATCTAATAAGATTCGATTTCTCCTTTCAGATACACCATTGTGTTGTGGTGTTACTGGAGGTGTCCACTATGAGAGAATCCCATTCTCTTTGAAATATCTGGTAAAATCTTCAGTAAGATATTTTCCACCTCTATCAGACCTTAGCACTTTGATACTTTTACCAGTCTGCTTCTCCACTTCACTACAGAACCTTTTGAACATTTCAAAAGATTCAGACTTGTGTTTCATAAGATACACAAATCCATATCTTGACATATCATCAGTGAAGGTGATGAAGTAAGAATATCCACCTCTAGCTTGAATTTTTATGGGCCTACAAACATCTGTATGAATTAGTCCCAATAATTCAGAAGCTCTTTCTTCACTTCCAGTAAATGGAGATTTGATCATTTTTCCTTTGAAGCAAGATTTACAGGTTGGATATGATTCAAAATCATATTTGTCAAGGTACCCTTCCTTCTACAACTTGTTAATTCTTTCTCTCCAATATGACCAAGCCTACAATGCCAAAGGTATGTATTATTTACTTGATCATCTCTTTTCCTCTTAAGACTTGAAACATGCATAATCGAATTAGCATTCACATTAGGTAAGACATAAACGTCATGTTGGAGATATCCATTCACATATAAATTATCACTATAATAAATAGAGCAAATATCATTGCCTATATTAATGCGGAAACCACGTTTGTCTAACATAGAAGCTGAAATTATGTTCGAAACAAATTTAGGAGCATAATAACAATCATCCAACATAAGTACTTTGTCCGTACGCATTATTAAAGAAATTGATCCTGCAATTATGGCCGCAACTTTTGCATAACTTCCAACTTGTAGATTAACTTCTCCATTCTTTAGTCTTCTACTTATCTTTAACCCTTGCAACATATTGCAGATGTTATAACTACTGCCAGTATCTAATACCTACAGTGAAGAATTAGTAGTAGCTAAAGAAACCTTGAAAAATATTTTTCATTAATGTCTCGCCTTGTTTCTTGTCCTTTAGAGTTGCAAGATACTCCTTGCAGTTTCTCATCCAATGCCCTTTCTTTTTACAGTGAAATCATTCAGCATCATATACTGACTGCAAGATCAAATCTTCAGAAAGCTCTTTACCAAGCTTGTACCCCAACTTCTCATGTTCTTCGATAAGAACAATCATATGATTGACAAGGGATCCAACTGAAGATTTTTCAATATCCAACTGTGTACCAACCATCTTCTTAAGATGTTCAATGATTGCAGTTGGATCCATATTTTGATGTTTCCTCTGGAGTTCAGAACTCATAGAAGCGAGAATGAAATGTTTAATAGCAAGGCATTCTTCCAAGTGTTTCTGATAAACCTTGGTGCCTTGATCATCATTCTCTGATGGGATTATCTTTGTAGGCTTATCGATCACATCAATGAGCTTTTCATGCATGAGAACAATTCTCAAATTTCTATACCAGTCATCAAAGTTTGGTCCTACCAACTTGTAGGTCTCAAGTATTTCACGCAGTGATATAACAGACATATTGAGAAATCTAAAATATAGAAAAGAAAAGGCAATGATATAAGAACATATTTGCATATATCATAAAGACATGGACTTTTATCTAAATGATATTTCCACTAATTATTTTAAACTATTGACCCTCATTATAGTTCACGAAATCTTTATTTCTGTTAGTGGAGCAAAGGAATCTTTTAACAATATATATGAGCCCTTTGGAAGTCAAGTCATTTCTCACATATATTTTAAAGGTAGGTACTCTTACCAATTGCATCCCCATACAGTTTTCTTAAATAGCTCTATGTCAAATAGTCTCATGGTAGTCAGGTTGATCCTACTGGCATAGTTGAGTTCAACTATCATGATAGCAAAGAACTTATTAAATTTTATACTCCCCGAGTAGTCCAGGCGTCTAGTTTAAAATTGAATAATTCTTTCAATCCATACATCTAATACAATAAATAATTTTAACATATTCTCAAACTATAAGTCTCCTGGTAGTCAGGCCGCTCCTTATAAACAAGAAATAAGTAAAATTATTTACTTTGATGGATAGATCAATAATAAAATATCTTATATTTTATTATTTAAGAACTCAAATTTTAGAAAGAGGGAATTGTTACTAAAGCAGTTTTTAATAACATGAAGATCAAATCTTTTATAGCATGTGAATTTAGTTCAAGATGTCTACATGCTTAGTCCTAAATTGATTTACATCACATGTAATAAATAATTCAAAATTATGTAACGAATAAGCATGTGACATAAAAACGAAATTCAACATCTTCTAACATGATTATCTTATATATCACATAAAAGTAATTCATGCCAGAATATCGTTATTAATTAACATCTCATGAACTAATAACAATTAAAAAAATTATTTACATGTCAATAGATCGGATTTAAGAAGTACATGGTGAAGAAAGTCTCGTTTCAAATTCTTCGATAATGCGAAGACTCTATGCGTATCCACACCGAGATTGATCCTTGCTATCAACTCTTTGATCAACGAAACCCGCGAACAAATTGAATGAAAAATATTGTGTTGAAATTCTTCTCAAAAATCTCAACTCAATGTTAGAAGAACAAGAAACACTTTTCTTGTAATTGTATTTTCTCTCTTGGCTTTGTATTGCACTCTCACTTTCACAAAGTATTTTTTCTTCTCGAGAATTAATCATCTGGCAAAATTTTCTCCATCACCCTTTATATAGTATCACCTATAAACCCATATTTGATTGAGGTAATGATTTACTTAGGGTAAAAATTTATTCCAAAAATAAACTTATGAAATTTTCCATTGGAGAAACATATATACCATTCCAATCGGAAACGTCGTCAGCTTGTCCTCTAAGGACATTCCAATTCAATTCCAAATTGGATTGGATTGTGAAAATTAACTAATATTTTATATTAAAAAATATCAATCCCATTCTTAATGGGTTTGAGCTAATCTTACGTCCACTTTTGGACTTTGTTATCCATTCCAATTCTAAATTGGATTTCCAAATAAGTTTTTATTAATATACTATATGCACACTTTGTGCAAATAAATATTAATTATATATATCACATATATATTTTAACCAAGAAATATAATTTATTTTTCTATTCCAAATAGAAAACTTCAATTCGTTCACAATATTAATTATAATCTCTGTGCTAGCAAAGAGTATAATAATATTTCATTTGGACTAACAACTTTATTTATTTGACTAATTAAATTCTTTAATTCAATTATCAAATAATAAGTTAATTCTTTAGCAAAGATCAGAACACTCGTTAGAGTGCGACCCCATAAGTTCAATACTAAACCGGTAGTAAATTGATCACATCAATATACTAATCAAGGGTGGCGTCTAGCTACACTCCTTAACGACCGGATAGAATGAAGTATACAATTTACTCTCAAGAACCTGTAGAAGAATAATGTAGTAATTCATTCTGTCCTTATAGCTCTGGGTCACCCTAGGATATGATTCAACTGTCAAATCCAAATAGGTGACCAACTATGTGTTCATGTCAAATATAATTGACCACTGAATGACCTAAGAAACTCATTTCTTCTTTCATTCAGTTGCCCTGACCAAGGTCTTAGTTTGGTCGTTTATAATTCATGACAACATGGAGCTTAAACTCATTACCAAGAGTTGACAGATTCCATCTTGATCAATCACTAATTCTACAAGTATTTAATCGTACCCAATTATCCTTTCAACTATCACCTAGGGCCATTGGTGTCTAGTATCAAAGTACAATAAATAACTTGTCAATTACTATGACGATCTCAAGTCAAAGGAAACTTTTACATTACATTCTTCAAGAGAATATCCTATTGACAATTTATGGTAATTCTAACCATTAGGAATTATCCAATGAGTCGGTTCAATGATCATATCTCTATATGCATCATCTATCTATGTAATTTAGTTAATGAGATCAACTAATCTTTATCCCATAAAGACGATCACATAAATATTGATCTAACCGGATTACTAATGTCCAAATTAATAATCCTACGATCAAGAACAAATTTAGATTAAATTGTAAGAGACTTTCTCTCATTATCATGATCTCTATCATGATGACAAATCTCAAAATTTAATCAAGGACCTTATCAAATTAATCAAACAATTAATAATAACTCTGACAAAAGAATGCCATATATTTTTATATCAAATAACGTTCACAAAAATATGTTCAAATCATCAACTATTAGATTGGATCTAAGACATATCTACTATATCCCTAACAGAAGTGACTACATGTATTCAGAGGATTAGAGACATGATACTGCAATTACACCTCAGATTACAATATCAGAGTAAATGAAAGAACCTTTTGGAAAGTTTGAATAGTTATAGGGATTTTGTTTTTTGGCTTAGCTCTAGCATCCAAGTGAGCTAGCGGTTTTTTGTATATATCTACACTTGGTCAAAGAAAATTTTGCCCATTTAACCATTTTTTTTTTTTGGGTGTAACTGGGTCTAGTAAAGTGAAATGAAACAACTTTTGGGATGTTCAAATTTGGGAACTTTATGTCCAGCCGACAGGATTCACATTTGCTTTTCCTAGCTGGTATACATGGATTATATATCAATTATACACGATTATACACATATGAACTATAAATTATACGTATACTACATATGCGCTAACTGTTTTTAATTTAAACGATTGAGTGGACGGCTATTTAAGTAAATTCTTCTTTTAAAAAAAGTATTCTTTGGTTTGGGCCATCCTAGGCTTGTTGGGTATTGATCATGGACAAGTCCTTTTGCAAGCCAGCCTCAGGAGCCAAGGCCCAAATGATATTTTTGCTTTTGGACAAGATAAAGATTTTCTCTTGATACTCCCCCTTTTAATGTCAACCAATCATTCTGATAAATCAACTTAGCTCCACTTCCATGTCATCAACCACCTCAAATGTTTTCTCTTTCTATATTATTCTTCTTTTTCCCTATGAAATGCTATTGATTAAGACCACCAGAATCTTTGGCTAGCACCCAAGTTTCTTGAACTAGTTCAAAGGAAAAAAAATGTCTGCTTTTGCTCCTTTTAGTAAACTTACACTTCAATCAACTAAAGACCATAACTTTAAGCAACTTTTGTCATCTCATTTCATCAATCATGTTCAGGTAAGTACAGTCCCTTATGCAATTCCTTTTCTTTCTGTGAATGTACCCTTTAGAGTTAATTCAAGAAAGCTTAAACCAATCACAGCTTTAGCTGCCTCTACTATTGAAAGCCCCAAGATTTCATTCAGAGGTAAAAATCCAAAAGATATTAAAGTTTTAGTTGTGGGGTCAACTGGTTACATTGGAAAATTTGTGGTTAAGGAGTTAATTAATAAAGGGTTTAATGTTATAGCTATTGCTAGAGAAAAAAGTGGTATTAAAGGAAAGAACAGTAAAGATGATACCTTGGAACAATTAAATGGAGCTAATGTGTGTTTTTCTGATGTTACTAATTTGGAGAGTTTGGAGAAAAGTGTGGAGAATTTAGGGGTTCCAATTGATGTTGTTGTGTCTTGCCTTGCTAGTAGAAACGGTGGGGTAAAAGATTCTTGGTTGATTGATTATGAGGCAACAAAGAATAGTCTTGTTGCTGGGAAAAAATTTGGGGCTTCACATTTCGTTTTGTTGTCTGCAATTTGTGTGCAAAAACCCCTTCTTGAATTTCAAAGAGCTAAGCTTAAATTCGAGGCGGAGTTGATGAAAGAAGCTGAAATGGATGATGGTTTTACTTATAGCATTGTTAGGCCAACTGCATTTTTCAAGAGCTTAGGAGGTCAGGTTGAATTGGTGAAAGATGGGAAACCTTATGTGATGTTTGGTGATGGAAAGTTGTGCGCTTGTAAGCCGATAAGCGAGCAAGATTTGGCTTCTTTTATTGCTGATTGTGTATTGAAAGAGGATAAAATCAATCAAGTTTTGCCAATTGGAGGACCGGGGAAGGCGTTGACGCCATTAGAGCAAGCGGAAATTTTGTTTAAACTTGTGGGGAAAGAACCAAAGTTTCTTAAGGTTCCTATTGAAATAATGGACTTTGCGATTGGGTTGCTTGACTTCCTTGTAAAAATATTTCCATCGTTGGAAGATGCGGCCGAGTTTGGGAAGATTGGGAGGTATTATGCAGCGGAGAGTATGTTGGTTTGGGATCCTGAGACCGGGGAATATAATGCCGACGCGACACCTAGTTATGGAAAAGATACATTGGAAGATTTTTTTCAGAAAGTACTCAAAGAAGGAATGGCTGGTCAGGAGTTAGGGGAGCAAACAATATTCTAAAATTCTCCATCATGTTGAAAGTTTGTAATCAAAGAGGTCTTAACTAGCTACTCTCTGACAAATCAATTTTGAGGTATGCAGTTTGTTCAGCTGTAGCAGATATTGAAAAGTTATCAATTTATTTATGTGTACATTTTACTCTAATATGAATATATGCGGTCGTACCTATCCAATAATGGAATATGGAATGGTGTAAATTCCTGAATGTTAAGCAGCTCACCTATCATGCGCACTTTTCTTAATTGTTACTTCTTATAACTAGTTGTGTCAAATTAGATCATTCTTTTCCTGCATAGACAATATGGAAATTACCCTGCTGTCAAATTGCACTGTTTAGGATATGCTAGAGGTAAATTTAACACCAAATGAGCAATTTAAATGATCCCTTATCGAGGATAATTTCTGAGAACAGATGGTGGAGTTCAGTTTCAGAAGATGATAGATGTTCTTTTAGAGTTGGTCTTATGCTCTGGTAATATATAATAAGTACTGAAAATGCCATTTATACGAGTTAACTGATATACGGTATTTATAGGACTGGTCATTGCAGTCGTGGTTCACTTAATTTGTATGTGATGGTCTGGTTTATCTGGTTTAAAATGTGGCCTTCAAATCTAGGTAGCCCACTCTCCAAACCCAATTTTGCAACTACACATCTTTGTGCACAATTGGTTCGCAAATTTGGAGTCTGTAGAGAGCCATTCATCCGTAACACTCACGCTTTTTGTATGGTTCTTCGCCATTCTTTTAAGTTTTACCCTCCTCTTGAGGGTGCAATTGATATGTAATTGTCTGATCGTGCTAACTTGTCTTAGTTTGGAAATGCTTCTTTCCTAAGATTAACACGGTAGCCTTTATGCTCACCGAAGAAAAATACTAGTAATAATTGAACTCAAAATCTAGATAAGGATAGCTTGCGTCGTATATCATAAGATGATCGGTGTGAAAGCAAGTCAAAGGTGTGGTTTAACTAACTGAATGCATAAGAATTGAATCTGTTCTTGGCTAGTTTGACCAGCAACATTTGTTTGGTTCTGGACGTTGTCCAATATTATAGTTTTACTTCTTCTTGGTTCATTCTGCTTTTTAAACTGTGTTATTCAGATGATGTGCATATACTTGTTAATCTATGCATGTGTAAGTGTTGCTGAATATCGTGGGTTAACTAACACACAATCTCACACAAAGCAAATAGAGAAGAAAAATCAACACAAGGATTTAACGAGGTTTCGCTAAGCCTAATCCTCGGGGCAAAAGAAGAGAGTTTTCCACTATGAATGAGAAGAAAAGCACAATACAATCTATAGAATCCCCAACTACAACCCCTATATATAGATCCCAAAAGGTCTCAAACGTATAAGAGAAAGATTTCCTAATTTGACAAGGACTATAGATTTTCCTTTCCCAAATCTATTAGGACAATGAGTTTTCCTAAACCTATAGGGACTATGAGTTTCCTAAAAATACAAGGAAATAATTCAAGCCACAAATAACAAATCTTCCCCTTGGCTTGAATTCTCTTCATCAACAGGAACAACGTCTCTCTACCTTGCCCTCAACCCTCGCAAGGGCTCTATCCATTGCCGCACATCAACCAAGTCTAGGCTATGCCTAAACCTGTTAAGAGACTTAATCTCTTTAGCCATAGCACTAATCCGTCGATTTGGTTCTATACTCGGAATAGCTTCTAGATAGCTATAACACTCAAATGCATCAACGGTCTCTGCAACTGCCAAAGCAAATCCCACTGGATTCGTATATCCAAGAAGATTCCCATCAGCTACGTTTGCAAACCTTTGCGGTCGGTTGATCACTCTCTTCTCTCTGCCTGTTGCAATGCTATATGGTTGTTGTTGCGCAGGTGCATCAACATTATCGTCTTGATCAATATTTTGCACCTCCTCCACTTCCTCTACTTTAGAACTATTGGGCTGAGCTAGTGGAGATTCAATTTCTAGCTTTATGCGGTCACTGACACCACGATCTGTTTCTACTATTGCCTTCTCCCTTTGACTGTCCAGTAAGGCAGATTCATTGAATGTTACATCCCTACTGATAATTAGCCCTGGAGTCTTTTGATCTGTGCACCACAACTTATAACCTTTCACCCCAGTTGCATACCCTAGAAATATGCACTTCTTTGCCCTCGACTCAAGTTTTCCATCCCTCACATGAGCATAAGTAGGACAACCAAATATCCTTTAATTTGAATAATCAGCAGGCTAACCGGACCATACCTCAAAAGGAGTTTTGAACTCAATAGCTGTTGATGGAGATTTATTGACCAAATAACAAGCTGTATTGATTGCTTCAACCCAAAAATCTTTGCTAACACATGAGTGTGAAAGCATGCTTCGTGCCCTATCACAAAGCATTTTATTCAAAAGTTCTACAACACCATTTTGTTGTGGTGTTCCGACACAAGTGCGGTGTCTCATTATGCCTTCCCTGCTGTAGAAATTATCGAACTCAGAATTGCAAAATTCCAACCCATTGTCAGTTTGAAGACGCTTAACTTTTCTTTCCGTCTGCCTCTCAACCATCGTCTTCCATTTAACAAATGTCGAAAATGCCTCATCTTTTGTTTTCAGAAATACACCCATACTATCCTTGAGTAATCATCAATCAAAGTTATAAAATACCTGGCACCACTCTTGGAGGGAACTCTATTTGGACCCCACAAGTCAGAGTGTATATAATCTAACTTGTCTCTGGTTTTGTGCTCGGCCTTCTTGATGAACTTTACCCTTGTCTATTTACCAAACACACAATGCTCACAAAAATTCAAAACTTGATTTTTGTACCCATTCAACAAATTCTGCTTACTCAACAAAGACAATCCATTATCACTTATATGGCAAAGTCGCAAGTGCCACAACTGAGACTGATTCAGATCACTTTTTCCAGACGCTGCAGCAGCTTCCCCTTCAACTATACTGGCTTGAAGATGATACAATTTAGAATTTAATTTACCCTTCATGAGTACCATGGAGCCTTTACACACTTTAAGTATTCCATTCTCGGAGTGAAATTTATACCCTTGATCATCCTAAGTCGAAAGAGAAATCAAATTTCTCTTTATCCGAGGAACATGCCAACACTCAATGTTTCTAATAATTCCGTCGAACATTCTCAATTTGATGTTACCAACCCCCTCTACTGGTAATGGATTATCATCTCTCATACAGACAGTCCCACTCATTTGTTTGTAAGTTGCAAACTAATTCTTGTGTGGACACATATGGAAAGTAGCACCAGAATCAAGAACCCAAGAATTTTGCCCATGACTAGAATTCATAGCACAAACTTCCCCTATATAATCACTATCATCAGAATTATTGCCAGTGTCAACAATATTTGCCGAATTATCTATTTTCTGCTTTCCTCTTTTCTCCTTCAGCTTAAGACAATCTCTCTTGTAGTGACCTTGCTCCCCGCACTCATAACAGTTTTGCTTCCTTGCTCTAGACTTTGATCTTGCGGTTGACTTTTTCCTGTTAAAGTCCTTTTGTTGTGTTCTTCCTCTAATCACAAGACCCTCGCCCTCAATTCTGTTGTCTGGAAAGCTCTTTTTCAACTCTTTAGATTTTAGTGCATTACTAACATCTTCTAGTGAAATGCTATCTTTCCCATATAGCAGTGTATCGGCAAAAGTGACATAAGACTGTGGTAAAGAACATAACACAATCAAGGCCTGATCCTCACTCTCAATTTGGATATCCACATTCTTCAGGTCCATTATAATTGAATTAAACTCATCAAGGTGAGTTTTAACAGGTGTACCTTCGTTCATACGGAGATTGTATAACCTCTTTTTTTAGGTAGAGGCGGTTTGTCAGCGATTTCTTAGAATATAGATCTTCCAGGTTCTTCCATGCCGTTGTTGCAGAAGTTTCTTCAGCAATTTCCCGAAGAATGCTATCTGTAACGCTCATGAAGATCGCATTCAAAGCCCTCTCCTTCAGGTCTTCCTTCTTTGTCTCTTTCATATCTTCAGCAAAATCATCATCAATTGCTTTCCATAATCCTTGTGACACTAAGGACGATTTCATCCTAATCTTCCATAGACTGAAACTAGAACCTCCGTCAAATTTCTCTACTTCGTACTTTGTTGAAGATGATGAAGACATCTTAACCCTAAATTATGTGTAGAAACCCGAACCTTGCTCTGATACCAATTATTGCGGAATATCGTGGGTTAACTAGCATACAATCTCACACAAAACAAATAGAGAAGAAAAATCAACACAAGGATTTAACGAGGTTCGGCTAAGCCTAATCCTCGGGGCAAAAGAAGAGAGAGTTTTCCACTATGAATGAGAAGAAAACACAATACAATCTATAGAATCCCCAACTACAACCCCTATATATAGATCTCAAAAGGTCCCAAACCTATAAGAGAAAGGTTTCCCAATTTGACAAGGACTATAGGTTTTCCTTTCCTAAATCTATTAGGACAATGGGTTTTCCTAAACCTATAGGGACTATGGGTTTCCTAAAAATACAAGGAAATAATTCAAGCCACAAATAATAGTAAGTATTGAAATGCTCCATTCTTTCCATAATATCATAAACCATTTACTAGTTATACTTGTATATTAGACAACATTTCTTTACAAGTTATCCGATTACCTAGTACTGCATAGTTTTTGATTTCTATTGAACACTGTTAAACATATGGGATGTTCACTGGGGGTTGCTAAACTACAACTTCAAGTCCATAGAATTGAGACTCAAAACTCCATCCGTTAAAGGTAGGGCTACTTACGCAAACGGGTGCCTCAGATACCAGTAGGTTTACTATATTTGAATCCAAAATGCAGATGGCCTGCTGGTGTATCATTAGAACTAATAGAAGTAAAACACCATAAATTGGAAACTTTTGTTAATCCCAAAACAGGTAGAGATGATTGAATTCATATACAAGCACTGGTGTAATGTCGAATTAAACAAAGGCTACACAAGAAAAGAGACAAACATACACAAAGAACACAAACTTGAACAGTACTTAATAACAGACTCTCACATGCTGACATTTAACAAGGGGTTTTCTGCTATACATCAAGAATTGTACTTTTTGTGGCTAGCTTGTTTACTTTGGGATCTTCTTAGAGTATACAGAGAGGAGAACAAGAAGAAGAAGCAGAACGGTTGAGAACAATGAGACTCCAATGGAAGCTCCAAGGTATCTGCAGAATTTGCCATACATGTTGCAAACCTTTCCCCATCCCACATGAGTGTTGCCTTTTAGTCCTATGTATGCCACTGATGCTGCTGCTCCGGTTGCTGATGCTACTATCCCTAGCAAAAGCTGCAAATACACATAAAGATTACTGTCACGAGCAGTGGTGGACCCAAGATTTTATCTATAGTTGTGCCATAGTGATAGTAAACACTATTCTTATGGCCTAAATGGAAGCAGGAATTATTAGACCACTCAGACACACTCTTGATTGTTACAAAAAGTTCATACTGAAATTTCATAACCTTAATCCTAAGACCCTAATATGGAAGCGTAGCTCGAGAAACCTCAAGCATAAAATCCACTATCATTGGAGATACTTAAGCCACATTTCAATCCATGGTTGAAGAACAAGATAATCAAGAAAGTCTCCAACCCCACCCCACCCTACTCCCCTCACAATGTGCATCTCGCGCCTATGGGCCGCTGTAACTACCCAAGAAGAGACTCGAACTAGAAGGATAAGCAAATCCATCTGGTGGACTACCAACTTACAAATCCTGTGACACACGAGCGGGATTCGCTAAAAAGCTAAGGTCGTGGGTAGCAAAGAGGTACCACTTGGAGACTTGGGAGCTCAATAGGAAATACGAAGGTTGCTTAAAGCCGGCCAACCAAAGAGAATCAACTAGTTTAGTTCTGAACTGAAAAGGACTACGTAGTATTTCTCATGTGTGTTTAAGGGTGGGGGCACCCTATTAGAATAATGAAACATAAAAGAGTGTAAGAACTTACAACATCAATGATAATGAAATGGGAAATGATCTTTGCAGAACAACCAGGCTTAGTGAGGGAGTACAAGGAGCCAAGTGTAGTAATTATGCTGAAAAATCCAGCCACAGAGAATGCTGCTACAAAATAGCTACAACGTAAATAATTCTGTGTTAGGTAGCTTTCTGAAGTCAGTTGGAAATGTTCAAATGTAACCAACATTATTTAGTCAAAATGAAGAATCGTATTGATAACCAAGTAGTAAAAAGATAGGTACAACTAACAGTCTCGTCAAGAGATATTTTATTATGTATTAAATGATATAAAAATAAAAAAAATGACAGGATCAAGATGAATCCTGATAATGAGATTTGACTCATAAATAAAACAGCCAGTTGAGGCCGCTGCAAATCCACATGCTTCACATATTTTCAGAATTATATTGACTAAGAATAGATACAAAAATTCCAGTCAATAACGAAATATAATATAGTATCATAACAATAAAAACAAAAGAACGCAAAAGAGAAAAGAAAAGAGTTGGCTTAGCAACCACCCCGGATTGCATTTAATCGGGGGAATAAATACACAAAGTTCCAGTCAATATTATTGAATTTAATAACAATGAAAAAAATGGCTCTGTCCTTTAAGTTGTGAGTTGTTTAGATAGGAGGGTTGTTCAAGTGGTAAGCACCACTTGAATTGAGTTGTTCAATATTATTGAGTTGGCTTAGCAACCACCCTTCATTTTTTTATCCTAAGATTGCAGGTCTGAGTCACCAAAGAAGCAAAATGGAAACTCGAAATAATCATCTCAAGTTAAAGGCAGGAAATTCTAGTTAAATTGTGTTCCCACAAACAATATTCCTTTTGGTCTAATTTAATTATAGTATTTCTCTTTTACACATCCCTTTAAAACTATTAGCAAGGACTTTTTGTTTATCATACTCTTATTTACTCTTCGTATTTAGGTTTTCTATGCTATGTAATCAATGTTTTTTACATTCAAGAACAGTTAATATTAAGGGAAAAATTAACAAAAATTAATTATATCTTATTTTCTAAAATGATAGGTATTTTAGAAATTTAAGAACCATGACAACTAAAATAGACCGGAGGAAATATTTGTTAAAATGCAATTACGCAAAATTCCGGCTACACACAACATCTAAGACTTTAATTATTTAATTTGTTATCTTGAAAGAAATAAGGCTAATCTTTCTTATAATCATACTAACAAATTAAATGATCACAGCATGTGATTGGTGATGGATGAGTCTTACTAATCAGAATAATTTTCTCTTCATAATCAACTATATTTCAACAGTTTCTCTCTTACGTACTAAGTAATACTATCTTTTCAACCCACTGATGACATTTCATTTTTAGAGGCTTTGCCTGCAAATGTTTTGTGTATAGTTTTGGTTGTCAGTCTATCATGGTAGCCTTGTCGGCCCACACATATATGAGCAAATAATTTTCTTCTTGATAATTATCATATCATGTCATACCATGAAAAATAGTATATACGTACTTAGTAGTGACAAAATGATTAAAAGAAAACAGTTATTCACCCATATTATTCATTTAAAAAAATGAGTTAGATAATGAACTTTTTAAAAACGGGTTAAATATGAATAAGAACCATATTATCCACTTAGAAAATGGATAACCAATGGATAACTAATGAGTTTTACATTTGTAAAGCCTCAAATTAGGAGTTCCTCAAGTTTAGGAGATTAGGAATTTTCCAAAAAATGATCATATTCAAGAAGCCATGGATAATAGAATATCCATATTATCCGCTGGTTAACCCATTTTTTATCTGTATTAAATATGGGTTGGGTTGGATAATTTATCCGTTTTTACACTACCCGTTTTCGACCCGCCCATATCCGATCGGACCTGACTCGCCCGTTTGCCGCCTCTATCAATGTACTATATATTACTATTTGAAAAATCTGCTACATCCCATGACAAAGTCATACCTTAGTTAAGGCTTCTTAAATTTTATCACAGTTCAAAATAATCTTCGCTTACAGTGGTCTTCGCAACACATCAATATTTTTCCGCTTTCGCTTTCTTTCTTTCTTTTTTTCTTTTTTCTTTTTGGGGTCAATACCCCCTTTAAAATTTGGCTATTAAAAGATCACCACCCTCCCAAGTGCAAAAATCCTAAAAATTTCACGTGTATACGTTAAATCCTATCCATATAACTTGGAAAGTACAAGGTAATTACGATTTAGTCTTAACTTATTATGAGGTTACTAATTCAACTTTTTATATGGACGGGTTACGTGTACATATCTTTTTCGTAACTTGATAGTACAACAATTATTTTACACTAGCAGCATATAAAAGTTAGACTCACGTATATTATGTTGACCAAAGAGAAGATATCTAAAACTTACATAAGTGCTGGTGAATGATTGAACTTAGCAGGGAGAGGTGCTCGATAAGGTGGAAATGGTGTTGGAACCATTTCTGTTTGCTTACTAACTGACATGACCACCACAGAAACTAATGCTGAAGCAAATACTAACAACCTCAACACCACATCCGCCACCGCAAAGTAGTCGGTGGGTCCGGTCGTCGGTGGCGGAGCCGCCTTTTCTGGCTCTGCCACCGATGCTTCTGCGGGTGGAACAACCTTTTCGGGTTCATTAGCCATAGGTGCACAATAGTACTATACTAGAGGTGCCAAATTGTTTTGAATAATAATTAAATTAGTGACCCTAAGAAGTGTGTGACTAATTAACACAATCGATAATGATATTTATAGGATGTACTTTAACCTAACTAAGGTGGTTGGAATTGCCCACACGCCAAGTTTAGATTAATTTGCATTATACTTGTTTTTCTTGAGGGTGTTATCAAAGTTAATTGATGCTAGCTCAAAAACGTTTTTGATGTCACGATTGATATACAGTCAGACTTCTCTATGACAGCATCTCTATATAACAACCATTTATTATAAAAGCCAAACTTGTGTCGAAACGATTTTTATGTTGTTATAATATGTGTTATCTATAACAGCACTTTATTATAGCAGCCAAAAAATATCGAAACAAACGAGATTATTATAGAAAGGTTTGACAGTAGAATGATAATTATATATAATTAGGACTCTTGTTGGTGTCAAATCTAATTTTTGTGAACGATAAGAAGCTTTTACACAAAGTTGAAAATGATTTAATGATTATCTTGAGCTGTAGCACTTTATTATAGGCCAATTAATATCATAGTCTTTTTGTTAGGTGAATAACTATTTTCCTAACTTCTACTTTTCTCAGTGTATCATGCACCTCAATTGTGACATTGCTTGAGTAAAATTAAGGATGTTGAAGGAAATATTCATGTTAAATTTATATGTATACTAAATAAACGTAATTTTCAACATCTCCAGACAAATTACTGAACTTGTTTGATTTTATCCTTTTAATCTGGGCTCGTGCCATTTACGTTATTGCATTTGTAATGGATAAAGAATAAGAAAGTTGGCGAGTTGGGTTCTATTAAAAGACAATATAGTCGATTCAATCTCTAATGTTGCTGAACCACCAACCAAAATTAATATGTGGGGTTTCCCACAGGTCCACAACACTAATCTGACTGGTTTCTTAATTGGTTCCTTGTTATGGGGTTTATTTAATTTGGGACATTATTATTTTCAAAGAAGGATTTAGAATTTTTTTAATTAATAATGATGTAGGGTACTATTTAATTTTTTTATTGCGAAAAAGTACTATGCCATTTACTGCTACTTTGTGACAGTTGATGAGAATTTATTATAAATATTCACTTTTAAAAAAAATTACATACATATTTATTTGAACTAAAAGCAATCAATACGTCAACAAGGCGGAGTTATAGTATTAGATATGCATTCAGACGAGTATATATATAAATATTTAATTGTAAAAATAGTAATTAAAACGAGTTATGAATTTATAAATTTAGAGTCATAAACTTTAAATGTTACCTCCGCACGGTCAATATTCTTTGAAAGAAAAGGTTTAATCACTCATGACCTTAAGATTGTGTGTATTGCTGTGTAGTGGGTGGCTGATCTTCCACTTGTACTTTTCTTTTGATAATAATAAAGCTAATCATTTTTCAGAAAGCTTTGAGTTTGCTTTTTTGCTTCTGATAATGATCTTTTTTAATTTAATAATTGGAAAATAGGAAGCTTCAAGATAAATGATCATTGTCCAAGTTGATACGATATGTCACAAAAGTCTAACATAGATGTTTTTTTTTTCTTTTTTGTGCATGCAAACACGTCAAGGGAAGTATAAGCAGCTCTTATCCATTCATATTTGTTTTTCTTTTTTCCTGATTACTTGTCTAGTTCGAAAAATATCTAAATTTCTCAGGTAAATTAAACCTTAACTTCAATCTTTAATATAATTTGCCCAAAATACCTTCTTTTACGATGACTTTTTAAGGAAACTTAGTACTTTTTAAAAAGGTGAAATAGTAAATGAAAAATCAGTAAATTTCTTTTGAGAAAAAAAAAGTTAATTAAAAATGGTAAATTTTTTTACATGGAATAAAATTTAAGCTAAACGTATTATTCTTGGAGTCGTTTAGTAATTCAGTTTAGTAGCTAGTAAGCTGAATAATGTAACTTATCCAAATTTCTCTTTCTAATTTTCCTAATATTTCTAAGTAATTTTAATAACATTGGAGGGAAAAGATTTGAATAAGAACTTGGGAGGTCTGTGCAATAAATTAAATTCGAAGCATGTATTAGATATTTCTCAAACTAGACGGAATGTCCAAAAATGTTTTTGTTAAACTAGATTGGGGGTTTAAGTAATTTACTTTTCATTTTTATCATTATATAATTATTTTAATATCTCAAGAAAATTCCTGGTTAAGTAAAATAAGAACTCTAAAATTTTGTTCCTGGAAACCATGACATTTCAATATATCAATGAAAGAAACCGTATTATATAGGAATATGCAATAAATCTTTATCCAAATCTGTCCATGCATCAAAACAATGAAGTATACATATATCCCATATAGGGGTGTACAAAGAAAACCGATAAATCGTACCAACCCGATTATTCAAGTCAAACCGAGAAAAAAACCCGATTATGGTTTGGTTTGATTTGGTTTGGTGTTGGAAAAAAAAATCCGATCATAATTTGTTTGGTTTGGTTTTAACTAAAGAAAGTCAAACCGAAACCAAACCAACCCGACATTATATATATAGAAATTTTAGATATATTTAATATATAAATATACTTATTGTGATGTAATTTATAAATATTTCTTACAAAATTTCGTAATTTTATCTTTTAAGGTATTATTTCAAGGTTAGACTTAAAACTTTTAAATGTTCCAATAAATTTTATAGCCATTAATATTAGGAAATTAAATAATGCTAACAAAAACACAAACCAAAATCAAATCAATACTAATGCTAACAAAAGACATTTCAATTCAATACTACGAAGCGAAATGTATTGAATATCTATTTTTTATTTTGCAATAATTTAGATAAAAATGCATAACCTATTT